GTATGCCACCATTTTCTATGTTTTGTATTTGTGACCTAGTGCATTTTGTAAATTGAAGTTGTGTTAGCTAAATAAACCCCCAATGAGTGCTCCCCGAAATCATCGTGTTGACTTCTCATCGATTGCCTCTGCGGAGTTTCACCCACACTTATTCGTCTCCCTGGTCGTCCGATGCGCCTAACTTTGAACAACGCCGACGTTTCGCTACAGTATTGTGACGTTTGCTGCAATTTCAATTGCGGTCACTCTTTGCTTTCAACTAGTTCCCCCGAGGAAAACATATTTACAACTGCAGCTCATTGGGCATCACGACACTGCAGGGAGTATAAACTAACAGAAAAATATGCACTGCGTTTCTGCTACAACAGTTATTTGCTTGCCTAGCTAATATTGGGCCCACCAGATGTCACAATTCATCCAGCCTATCATGTTGGGCGATGGCTTCCGGAATAGCACTAAAGCAAGGTGGTTAACAAACTAAAATTATACCTGAGGCTCTTACGAAATGAGTGTTGATTTAAAAACGCGTCCCCTCGGCCGGGTAGTATTACTTGCACGACTGTACGAGAGGATGGCGGAGAATGCTAGTATCGACTGGGGATCTGGGTTGTCATGGAGGCCATCAAATGTGAAGAAATTGGGATAAATTCTTTGTTACCACATGCTGTCAAGTAAATAAACGTGTTCTCTTCGAGCCACTCCTCCCTGGAGAAAAGAAAGTATTAGCACAGCTAGCAGTGCGTCTCGTGGGACGCAGCCAGAACCGAGCTGGTGGGCACCTAGCTCGTCCTGACATGGTTAGGCTTCTGCCTTCTCACCTACATCTCTCACACGACTTGCTGTGCTATTAGATATATGGCTACGTTTGACCTTCACATTTTTCTTTGCCTCTGAATTACTATTTATTTCTCACTAGGCCTGTAGGTAAACCTCTACTCCTAACAGTTCTGATGTATAAAGTTCCTATACATAACTCGCAACTGACGTGAGTTCCGGTCTTCTCTCTGCCATTACCGAGCACATACGTCTCAGTGACTGCACCGTGTTTACGTTCATGCGGTGGATCTTCTGACGTAGACCACGTGTTTGACGTTTGACGTAGAGCACGTGTTGACGTAGAGCACGTGTCGTTTGCCTTTCGCGCATCACGAAAGAAAAGCGCGTTAAGGAAATTATGCAGCTATCGGCGAAGCAGTGTTGACTGAGGAACTCGGATCCTTTCTGTCTGCACTGCAGTGTCCGAGCTCAGGGTCTCGCACGCAATGGGGGAAAATCTTCGCAAGACATTTCGAAGCATAACTTGCCTGGTATGAGAGGATGCGCGTACACACGCACGTTGTTAAGCCTTGATGTCCTTTGTAGTTATGCGCCCATGAGCCATGTCCTGTGTTTGTCGGAGAGCTCTTTTGTGCGGTAACGCTGGTTTGTGATCACCTTTCGCAAACAGTAACTTCCCGCCTGTGGTCCTTTTTTTTTTTATCTCGTTTACGCTCCTCGTGTGACAGTCAAGTATCTCACAAATGGCGTTGCGACGTAGTGTCGATGGGATATGCGAGAGCTGAATGATCGGTGAGAGCTGCATGGCAACAGGAGATGCTACGGAGATCACGGACGACACAACAGTTCATTACGAAACACTCCGAGCGAGTCCTCTGGCATGTGCTGGGTGATGGTGCTTCATATCCCGAGATTGTATCGCAGAGCTTCGCGGTGTGACGTACTTGCACGTTACGTATATCTCACATGTGCCCCAGTTATCGGGCAAACCTCCGGTAATCCCTGCACTGGTCTAACAAAAGTTAACAAGGCAACACGAGAGCGGCCAACACCAATGAGGGGCTGCACGATGCAGCCTCTCCTGTGAACGATCTCCGACGAGTTCTCGGGCGGGGATGGAGCACGTGCACGTGCACAATTAAAATGTTTTTTTTTAATCGACGACACATGACAGACCTCGACCCTAACAGCTCTGCTGTGAAAAAAAGTGAGGGCGGGAGACCAGTTATCAATACTGATACACGCCGGACCCAACTGTGTATTACAATGGTGTTTCGCATACGCATACACCCTGCAGATATGCAGAGGCAGCGTGGACCCGTGTCCGCGCTCCAGAGCTCCTGCGACGAGTTCGCAGCCGTGAAGAGACTGCTTCTCTGCGGTGTCGCTTTCGATCGGCTGCTTCCAGCTCCCGTGCCAGCTCGGAACGTTTCGTCGGCCTTGGTCGAAGTGAACAACTCGTCAACGGATGCGCTGTGCTCGTAAGTGCCTCAGTGATTCTTGGCCTCGCACTTATAGTTGGTTAAAACCTTAGAATAAATACAAGCCCTGTCCATCGAACTGCGCACGCTTGTCAATTGCCTGTGAAATAATTTCGCACCCGCAGTTTTCGTTCCAAAACGTAAATATACTTACAATGCGCACGGATCAAAATGGGAAAGCTGAGCCCTAAGTAAAACACACACTTTCGTTTCCACCGTCACTTGGGTTATAGCGGCATAATTTCAACTCGAATGCATAGATCGGAACCAACGTAACCTTTAAAAAGCAGATTCGTTCCGACGTAACGTAGTAACCTCCAGCTATTACGCATACCAGTCGTTATACTATATAAAAACAATGTTGCTTTCTTAGGAACTGTAGATTGTCTGCACTAATATTAAACAGTGCTTCGCCTTTCCCACTAACCTGATTCCAGAACTTCTGATAAAATTGATTAGGACTCGACTTGAATCAGTGCCACCACCATGTCTGTATGGGAACACCAACTATCTCACACATTTGAAAAGTGGCGGACGTTATAAAAATAAAGTCAAAGGCCCTGTCTTCGCTCAGGAGGGCCAGTCAGCAAAAAAATTCGCAGGACACCAGCCAGCGACGCTGAGAACAAGAACCGCTTTTGTTTCGCCGCTCTGAATAATCACAACCAGCCTTCCGGACCGGCACAACTCAGCAGTAGCATACGCAGGAGGACACGAAAACCCGGAACGAACAAACCCCGCAGACAGGCGGTTAAGGAAACATACGGCACGGGACATAACGACAGGAAAGCCAGTGCGAAACATAGCAGCAGGAAAGCAAACACACACGTATCACTTAATAGAATGCGAGCCATCGACTCGCCTTAACACCCGCGCGGCCTCAGCTCTGTAGCACGCATGGAGGAAAAACCCATCGCGCCTAGCGCGACCGGCACTGTATCCCATCGCTCCCCTGCATGCCACCAAAAAGCCCCTTTATCCGCCTGCCGTTTTCCCGCCCCCTGTGGATTTTTTGGATGCCCACGCTCGTCCCGCGCATGTGCAATGCGCATGTGCTCTCCTCGCCTTCCTTCCACCGTGCGTGTTGCAGATAAGGGCCCATCGGCCCGACAAGGTCGAGTAAGGGTCCTTGTTGAGTGAGTTGGTTAACGTCAATGGGGTACACATATAGCATCGCGAACTTGAAAAACAAGGATAAGATAAAAAAGGTGGCACGGCTGTGTTATACTTCTTTTCTCTGATCTGTGTTTTCCTTGTTCGCGCTATTATGTGGTACCTCAATCACGGAAATAGTTATACGTGATTGAATGAAACGTTATAAAAATTATTTTTTGGTGGTATAAGAGTGGCTGTGGGTGGAACTTCTATTTTCATTCAAAGTTTGTCACTTATTATGGCTCCAATACGTTTTGATACATCAGTCTTAAGGCATCAGAAAGAAATAAATAAATGCGTAGGAGCAGCTTCGAAAAGTGCTTTAATAACTACTTTACGAGGCAATGTATAAGCTGTTTTTCACGGAGGTGTACGACTCGGGAGGTGACAAGGCAGAATGGCGACATATGGAAGCTCGTTTCGATGTGCTTAATTCTGCTCTGCGCTTCTTTGGCAGAAACGTTTAAAAAAAACTTGCAAATGCAATTGTCAGTACCGCATGACGCTGAAGCTTCAGCGTGTCATTATTCAGACACTTTTGTTGCATTGATTGAACAAATTAAAAAATATATATCAAGGTTATCTTAGCCTGTATATTTCTCGTAGTTGCACCGGGACAAATGTATCACTACTTAACATCTTATTTTAGCATACAAAGGAAGTTATGATCATTTGTCGTCAAAACTTGTGGAGCATACTCAGGCACATACAAGAAATTTTTTTTTTTGCGATGAGAATCCAAAACGTTTCTCATCAGACTAACTCAGATTCAGGCTCGTGGCTCGATCTGAGTCCGTGTGAGTCCCAGTGAGTCGGCTCAAGAGAATGTTACTCTAGAATTAGGTTTCCCGACCCTGGTATGAATGCTTTATAACACCGATATCCCGCATAATTGGTGTTCTTCTTGGCGTCTTTTGACATAGTACCTGCGAATGCGAGTTATGAGTGCTCCGAAACCAATGAGGCCATTTTCTTGAATGAGATGAGAACATAATATATATTTATCATTACTTCCTCGGAGAAGTTAGGGGGGGGGGGGAGTCAAGACCTTTTCCTGCATAAATCACACTTCCAATCAATAACTATTGAAATGATGTATGAAAGGCACTGCCTTGCAACACGTGTGAGTAGACGTGCGTATAAATGGGAACTTAGGTGACGCTGCTATTAACCTTGAAGATGAGTTGATATGACTTTAGGTTGGCAAACTCACTCAGACTCCCTATATCTCATGCTTTGGACTCACTCGGACTTGGACTCACCATTTTTTTTCAACCTGACTCACTCAGACTTCAAAATCTCCAAACTATTACCCACCTGGACCAGTCAGACTCAGACTCACAGCTTGATCTGAGTCTGAAGTGACCCATGGTAATGACACATGCTGTTCCATGACTGACACAGGTACACGGTAATGTTAGACACGGGAAGTGACATTAAGATGTCACTGAATTGGACATAAACACTTCCTGAATTGCGAAGTCGCCTTCTACTGAATGTTTATATGCGGGTGAAGAATATATTGAGGGTTGTCCCTTCGTGCAGCTAAAAACGTCAGGAGGCTAAATCTTCTATATTGCGAAATCCATAAGCCTGGCACTAACCATCATATCAATAATGCCTGTGTTATATTCGGATACTTCTAGGTTATTGAAGGAGATGAAGTTCTGCATATACTCGGCTGTCAAGGATGCTGGATGCTCGGAGTCACTGTTCTTCAACACGGAGGTTTCCCTGCTCAGGAGGCGACTCCTCGCGGAGTTCGAAGGCGACTGCGATGACACGCTTTCTCCTGGTGGGACAGCGGTGGTTCTGCAAAAGATCGTCAAGGTATTCCAAGCTAAACTAGGCATGCATATTTCAGTGTTAGTGTTCGGTTACAGTTCATTAAGGCGACAGCCTTAGATGCTTCATCATATGCGAAAAGCGACAGTCATCCGCGTCAACATCAAGGGAAGCGAAAAATCATCACGGGCGACATTGATGATGTCACCTTGATCATGTCACCTTGATCATGTCGCCCTATGATGTCGCCTTTACGTCACAGGGTTCAAGACTTTGTAACACATGAACTCTTGCGTATTGAGGCTGAAATCTCTACGAGAGCACTTGTCTGAGCATGCCGTAGGGTGGAAGCTCTTCAGGTTTCGTCTCCGGTCGCAATGCTACCATTGACATACAGACGTTAAATTGTAAATATATTCGTCAGATATATTGTCACCGCTACCTTTATTGTGATGGCAATACACCCTCGGGCAAGTTTTATTTATTTATTTATTTGAATACTTTCCATGCCCGAAGGCTTTACAGAAAGGAGTGGGGGTTATACAACAAAAAGTAAGCGAAATGTTACAATTGCTGCAAAATGGAGAACTTGAAGTTTGCAGGGTCTATGAGGGATGCGGTGGCAGCGGAAAGGCAGTTCCAGTCTTTGCTTGTTCTGGGAATGAAGGAATCCCTGCAGTGGTTTGTTCGGCAAAATGGCACACCTACTTTAAAGCAATGATCGAAACGAGGAGAAATGTAAGAGGGGGAAGAGAGAAGGCTCTCTTTTAAAGATGGATTGTAATGATAAATTTTATGAAAAAGTGAAAGGCGAGAGCATTTTCGACGGAACGATAAGTCGGTTAGGCTCAGAGTTTTTTTTCATAGCTGTGACGCTGGCATGACGGCAATAATTGCACAAAATGAAACGGGCTGCACGGTTTTGAACGGCTTCTAGAGTGAGAGTTAGGGTTACTTGACCGGGATCCCAGATGGCGCATGCGTATTCCAGTTTAGAGCGTACTAACGTTTTGTAAAGGTTTAGTTTCACTGACATGGGTACGGAAGAAAAAATTCGTCACAAATATCCGAGCATGCGGTTAGCATTATTAGTGACGTATTCGACGTGTTTCTGCCAGGATAGATTGTTAGTAATGTTAAGCCCAAGATATTTATACGAGCGCACTGAGGATAAGGGAGCATCATTAAGAAGATACATGCGATTGTTAAAAGCTGAAGTATTTCGAGATACACGCATGCTTTTACATTTGGTTGAATTAAGTTTCATCCGCCAGTCACGACACCAAAGAGACACGTTATCTAGGTCATTCTGAAGTCTGATAGAATCAGTTGGGTTAGTGATTTTGGAATACAGCACACAATCATCAGCAAATAATTTAATGGTTGAAAACTTAACACAGTTAGGAAGGTCGTTTATATAAATCAAAAATAACAATGGACCTAACACAGAGCCCTGCGGCACACCTGATGTTACGGCAGAGTTATCGGAAGAATAGTTGTTAGCAATGACATATTGCGACCTGTTAGAGAGAAAGAACCTAATCCAGCCAAGCACATTAGGGTCTAGGTTCAAATGATTTATTTTAACGAGGAGAAGTTCATGAGAAACGGTATCGAACGCCTTATGAAAATCAAGAAAAATGCAATTAGTGTCGTAACCTTCGTCAGAATTGGCAAAGAGATCGTTAGTGAAAGACACTAGTTGGGTTTCGCATGAAAATGTTCTCCTGAAGCCGTGTTGGGAGGGATGAAAAAAGGAATTTGTTTCAAGGAAGTCCATTAAATGAGAGAAAATAATATGTTCGAGTAACTTACAGGAAATGCTTGTGAGAGATATTGGTCGATAGTTTTCTGGAAGATGCGGGTTACCTGACTTATAGACGGGCACCACGTTTCCGGAATTCCAATCAGCGGGTAGCGATGAACACTGTAATGACTGATGAAAAAGCTTTGCAAGGACAATGGATGAATACACTTCTGTTAATTTCAACATTTTAGAGCAAATTTCATCGGGGCCTGCAGAAGCAGACATTTTCAAACCCTGAATTAGCCTAGTTGAGCCCACCCAGTCAACAAAAATAGGTTTAATGGGCGGAATATCAGCATGGGGTACATGGGGATATAATGAAGGGGCTGTTGTTTGAAACACTGAAGAAAAGGCATTATTTAGAACCGTGCAGCATTGGTCAGGTGGTACAACAAGGTCAGAACATGTTAATTGAATATTAGATCGAGATTCACCTCTCATTATGCTCCAAAATTTGCGGAGATTAGTCTGAAGAAGAGCAGGCAGTGTGGAATTAAAAAATGTTGTTTTTGCGTTGCTAACAGCGTCGTTATATTCCTTGTTTATGCTATAGTACTCAGACCAACGGCTGGGGAGGTTAGATCGCCGTCATCGTCGCTGTCGTGTTTTGTACGAAGTCTAAACCGATCACACCCGCTGCATCATATGTTCTACCGAAGGGAAAAAGCACACGAGAGGGGGCGACGAGCGAGGCTGCAACAATCATGAAACGAACCGACCAATTCTTCGTAATAAGGAAGGCGCTTGCGACATCTTCACCTCACCTGCGAAATATGGCGTAGAATACAACTCGTTATTTGCGAAAGCTGCCGTTATTGAGGAAACGGCCCGCCCGCCCTGTAAGAGCATGAGAAAACGCGTGGGGCGTGGTGGAGTCGCTCGAGTAGCAGCTATGAACTTCGACTGATAGGGAGCGGTCGCCGTCGCTGGCACGTGCTTTGAGGGCAAGATCAGCCGACGCCTCGTGTGCCCATCCTGCATGCTCTTCTTTCAAAGCGAAGAAACTATGAAAACTACAGCTCTACCAGGAGGGACCGTATTTTTTACACCAGCGTTTAGTCGAGTTACGCAAGATCGAACCAAAACATGTTTTTATAGAGAGAGCTTCTAGGTGGGCAAGTTGATGCATGTTTTACGGAAGTAATAAGTTGCAAATGAGGCGAACACAAAAAGAGAGATGAATGAAAGAAAGGCGTTCGTTTATGTCTTTTCTTGTGCTCGACTCGTTTGCGCCTTAATTCATTCCGTGAAGCCTTTACAACCGCTAGCCTTACATCGGATAATAGTAGGATTTGTTGCTATCACATTCATTGCTAGCACTTTAGGGGGCCGGGTGGTCACATGTTGTCGTGATCACTTGGCGTTACGCAGGAAAAACAACGCATAACATAGCCTGCTGTGACATACTGAGAACGCGCTCGCATCGAAGCCAAGTTTCCTTCCTCTTGTTATCGAGCGCCTTGATGATCATATCAATTGCGGAGATTACTGCTATAAGGCTAGGGAGACGTCACAAGGAGAAGCACGCATAAAAAGTGAAACAAGTAGCAAGTGAGAAATAGAACTATAAAGAAAATAAATGGGCAGGGAACTACAAACAAATAGAATTTAAAAAACCATAGATAACTGAAAAAAAAACAAGAAAGACAAAGGGGAGCAAGGGTAGATAAAACCGAACAAAGAACGCTGCCCAGCTCTGCACTTGGTTCACGCTCGGCACCAGTCACTAATGACGAAGCACATGTTTATTGCTCAAGCGAGAGTCAGTTACGGAGAACGATAAAAAGGACAACTAATTATTCCCTCTTGCTTTACTGCTCGCCATCATTAGCCGTGGGAATTAACTTCGTGTTTGGGACTGGCCCTTGCTGATTTTACGCTAGCTTCAGTGTTGCACGCGCTGCCGAGAATGCGTGCCTGCGCGTTGACGGACCTGCTAATCTGCGGTTACTGCTGTTCTACCTATGACAAATCTTTTTTACATTGCATTTGTGACATTAGCCATACAATATCCACGCGTGTTATTTTTGTGTGCTGGGTTGAAACCCGCCAAGACTGTGAGCAATATTCGGCTCAGGTCAGCGCCTCACTGTTCGAGAAGCTTCACGTTTGCAGTAGATCATTTTCTTTAGATTGCGCACAGATATATATATATGTGTGGGGTTTAACGTTCCCAAAATTACCATATGAATATGAAAGAAACCGTAATGAAGGGCTCCGGAAATTTCGACTACCTGGGGTTCTTTAACGTGCGCTCAAATCTGAGCACATGGGCCTACATCATTTCCACCTCCATCGCGAAAATGCAGCCGCCGCAGCCGGGATTCGATCCCGTGACCTGCGTGTCAGCAGCCGAGTACCTTAGCCACTAGACCACCACGGCAGGGCAACGCGCAAAGAACGCGAACACTTAAGATTATTCCAGGGCTTTAGTAAGCAGTGATAGAGCTGATAAGCTCAACGCATTCTGTTGCCCTGCCGCGGTGGTCTAGTGGCTAAGGTACGCGGCTGCTGACCCGCAGGTCGTGGGGTCGAATCTCGGCTGCGGCGGCTGCATTTCCGATGAAGGCGGAAATGTTGTAGGCCCGTGTGCTGCTCAGATTTTGGTGCAGGTTAAAGAATCACAGGTGGTTGAAATTTCCGGAGCCCTCCACTACGGCATCTCCCATAATCATATGGTGGTTTGGACGTTGAAGCCCACATATGAATCAACGCATTGTGTATGAAAGACAGTACACCTTGACAATGACCTGATTATCGACGGCTGACGCTCTGTTCGCTGCTATTATTGAACAATGCTTCGTGCTGTAGCTTGTGTTTTCCTTTCGCGGCAACTAGTTCGGCCAAATAAAGAGTTTCACCTCAGACACACCGCCTTCTGGTTTGGCACATGGCACGACCATTAGACACTACTGTTATTGTCAGTTCTGGAGCTCGTCTGTCCCTTGTAAAGTTTCGGCCGTTCTTGGTGCTCACGGTATTAGGATGCAAGCCCATAAGCAGGTTGACATTTTTGAGAATGGGATCACGTTACGGAGAGAGAGGGGGCTGAAGGAACCTTAGTTCTCTTGCAATTAATAACATTGCCAATATATGCACCAACTAGACACTATGAAAGTAATTTTAAGCAGTGAGGTAGCTCGCTGATTAATAGGCTGAGAAACAGACCCATCCTGTGAATAATTTGGGAAGGTCGGTAGTTTTTTATAGCATCGCGAGTAGTGTTGTAGAATTAAGACGTCACATTTTGTTTACGCATATCTTTCGTCATACTATTCGCGACCTTCATCAAGTTATAGATTCAGTCTGTTTCACACTTACGGGGAATCTCGGAGCGCATGGCATCACGATGCGGCCAGCGCAGCAGTCGCGCACTGGCAGTAGCCTGCGCATGCGCAGATGCTTGAGGAACGTGTTACTGAACGGCATCGTCTTCAACGGCTGTGCGCGCTAGCCACAGTGTCGGGCAGCCTGATAATTTTATCGTTGCTGCGGGAATTGTATTCTGTACCAAAGGTTGTGCAATGCCAACCTCTGAGCCTTCATTGGCGATAATGGGGTTCTAGAAACAGCATTTGAGAGCATAGGTTGTTTGCTCTTTCGAAACGCCATAGTACTGAGTGCGTTCACGTACATTTCTTTTCTTTATGTGTGAACCACAGTGCGCTGCGACGAGGAATGCCGTAATCAGCGCTTACTCTGCGGGGTATTCATTTCGCGCTAAAGAAAAGAAAAACACGAAGAGCTTCACAGCGACTACCGTGCAGCTATGAGGGTTCGACGCAACAAAACAAACAAAAACGAGTTAATTAGTGTGCAGCAGTTTAAGATACCGACCTGAACGTCTTGCTCTTCTCGATGGCATTTCATTACTTGAGACAGCACTCACTAGCCGGCGCCGAAATGCCCCCTTGCGTGAAGCTTCTAATTTCACTTAATACACCGTCATGTCCCCAAGGGCAGCGATGACGACGTTCATTTTGAACGGCAGTAAGGCGCACTGCGACGCGATAAGCAATATCGGCCCAGCACCCGCAGCAACGATGAAATTCGTCGGCTCCTCGACAATGCGGCCAGCGTGCTCCGCCGTAGCCGACGACGTCGTTCAACCGTTCAGCACAATGCCCTCCTCAAGCAAATAGGCAAGCTGCTGCTGGTGTGCGCTGGCGGCAGCATGGCCGCATCGCGAGGCCAGGCGCAATGAGATTTCCCCTAAGTGTGAAACAGAGTGAACAGCAACGTTTTTCTTAGTGGCTGCCGTGGAAGTAATGACGAGTTATTTGTCAATCAAGTGATCCTTAAGCTAGGTTATGAAAGTGCATGGACGACGCCTCTACTTTAACTAACAATAAGGTATATGAACAAGAGGCGTTGTGTATGTATTTCTTAAACTGATGTCTTTTAAACATATGTGGTTAAGAAATTTAACCGAACGCTGCATTCCTTGAAGTTGCAATGTTATCCCCATTCGTCACTCAGAAATTCTTCAAGAGAAAGTCAAGTGTTGTTATTCTACAAACCCGCAGGCTGCGAGCTCAAGGAGTTCACGCAGGAATGGGAGACGTGCGATGTGGACAGAGCTCACGAAGTGAACCTCAAGTATCGGAATGGTACAGGTCTACAGGACGAGGCTACCGCTCCCGACCGTCAGCGAGAAAGGTTTTGCAGGTGACCTACTAGAAGTTTTACGCATAGACATAGTGGGTTATTTGAGGATTTATCAACGCTGTCTTTTTCACCCGACGACATGCGGGCGAATTTGATATACTTTTCAATAGTGCCGAAGCCGTTTCCCGAGCCCTTCTTTAGGCAAGCCCTTCTTCACTCGCAGCATGCGGTGCCAGCAGTTTTATTTGTGACTATACTTGATGTTTTAGGTCATCACTTTATCTGGTACCCTTAAAATATTGTTGAGAAGAACTTCTCCTGTATTGCGGTCACCAAAGCGTCACACTATCACAAAACGTTCCTCGTGAAAGAGATGTATCGATGCCGAGAATGTCCATACTCCTTCTTCAAGGGGGGCGGGATGCATGCGAAGGTTCATTGCAGCACTCCCCTCTTTATTATTTCCATGTATGTGTCAGACTTTACATCATCCCCCCGCCCCCCGCATCTGAGGTGACTAGAAGGAGCGGCCGTCACCACTGCCCACTACCCCTTTTCCGTTCGCACGCATATATATATTTTTAACGGGGAGAAGGATCCCCTACTTTCTGGGATTGTTGCACGGAAGCACAAAAGCTGACGCCATGCAGTGCATTATTCCAGGACTACGCATATTAAGAACAGCCCACAGAGGACTATGGCGGCGTCCAGAAAGCCTTCAAAAAAAAAGGTTTATAGTGCCGAGTGCCTGTTCATTCGTATGGCCTTAGACGTGCAATGAGTTATTCATTAGGGGGAGCGAAGTCTCGCCGAAGCTCTCTCCGACCTTATTGGTTATGTCAGAGAAAAGACGAACCTTCGCGATGGATGTAGAGATTAAGATGAAGCGTTGACGCGCTTCCCACAATGGCCTGATATCGACCCCAGCTTTCAGCGGGCAAATGTGGCAAGTAAATATAGTTATTCGTATGTAACATCAATGATCATTGTCGTCAAAAACATGAATAATCAAACGCTGCCCTTTCGAATAATTTCAACAATGTCCGATTGAAGTACAAGTTAGATATAATTAGAAGGTTAAAAAAACAGTGCGAAGCACAGGACAAAAGGTCACAGATGGACTGAGAGCTTTCGTTTTGTGCTGTATCTTCGTGTTGTATCTTCATAACTTATATACATGCAGCGACGGGTCCAAATTAGCATTTCACGGGGAGGGGGGCGGAGTAAAGTTGCTAGGAGGGCCTGTAATTGGCGAGACTTCATAACTGTTCGCGCTGCCGAAAACTAACGAAGTGACAAGTGTGGGACGAAAGGACCCTGTGTGTGTCTTCTTTTTCAACTCGTCTTTTCTACACTTCTCGGGGCAGTGTGAGCAGTCATGAGGAGAAAAAAAGAGACCGCTACACCACCCCGCTCCTTACAACTGGCGAGCTGATGAATGCCCAAAGATAAAAATTTCTAGAGCCACGCAGATTGGTGCCACCATTTGTTTAACTGAAAAAGACAGGAAGGTTTCGAAGGAGGGATGGCACCCGTACTATTGCGGCTATATGACTGCATATTTTACTTTTTGTTCGCTTTAATCAGATGGCGCCCAGCTGTTCTGGTAGGGGAAAGATGACAAAATAATACAAAACATAAACTATCGCAGAGACGATTAATGGTATTTGGAGTAATAGATGAATACGTGCTATGTGAAGAGTGCTTAGATCTTACTGGACCGACAAGGAAATAACCATCAAAAAAGAGGTCCCCAAAAGAGCTGCGGGCTTTTGCAAAGGCTGCAGCTCTTTTAGTATATGATTTAGTATATGATTTCATTCTAGTATATGATTTCGTTCTATTTAGTATATGATTTTGTTCTAGAAAATATTTATTTTGCGTATAGTAAAAAAAATGGCGGCCAATTAGGAAATGAGGTTGAAAAAACCATCTAAAATATTTTGTACAAAGAAAATATGTGCGACTATGAATGAATGCATACAAGTGGATCACGTGCGGAGCACTGCCGTCTGCTACGATCTTATGCTGTCATCGCCTGGAATAAAGAATGCATAACGATGTGAAAACTATAAAGGAAAGAGGAACCGAGCGCGAAAACTAGAATGATGAAAACTTATTGGGGTCGTGAAGGATTCGATCCCCGTTTTATAGGGGTAGGATCGCGGGCCACTGCCACGTAAGAACGGAAAGACCTAGCCTCACCACGACATTGTGCGCCTTCAATTGACAGCCTTAAGTTGTTGTATAGAAAGCGAAAAATAGGTAGAAAAATAGAAAGGGCAAAAAAAAAGAGAGAAACGAGTATGCAATATGGGATGAAGAAAGGAATAGCAGTAAAGAGAGAAAGAAGACAAGAAAACAGACGTAAAAATACAAAAAAGAACCAGACAAGGAAAGTGTCAAATAAGTAAAAGAAAACGTAGAAGGTTACCCAACTCTGCTCTTGATTTCATAAAGCTTGACCTTTCTGACATGAAGATGCCATAAATTTTTTGTAACAGTCTGTGCCACGTAATCTCGATTTGGTAGAACGTACGTTTGCCAGTGTGTTATAAGCGTTACTAGTCGATTCCCCCACAATTATTTGCCTTCAAGGCTGACAGACTAACTGACCGACTGACCTAACCTAACTTAACCTAAGCAATATATGCCGAGAAAAAGAAAGCAAGCATACAAGTTAAGAAATCTTATTAAAAAATTCTACAAGCGACTCGGCAAAAAAGGAAGCCCAAATCCCCTTTTCATAAAAATGACCGGCAACTCTGTCTGTCTACCATGGTCTGTGGCAGATCCAGATTTCTCGTTAGATTGCCCGTTGCAAACAGCGGGGCAATAACAATCGTCATCAGTCATCATCATCATCACTGTGTCCTTTCCTGTTTCACGTATTATGCGAAAGACCAGAAGTCCTAATGCGAACCCTACAAGCCACTCCCACGTGGGAGCCATTTTAAAGTTTAATGGCCCTGTTTTTCAGTGACATCTCCGGCTACCTGCAGTGCCTGCGCGATTCGGCCGGCAGGCACCACTGTCCGGCTCTCGCTCCGGGCCACCCGAACACAGGCAACGAAGAATGGTTCCGGCGGCTCGGGTTCTTGACATGTTCCTCCTCACCACTGTTGGGAAGCAGCTGGACTCTGTTGGCGGTCGCTGGTGCAGCGCATGCCGTAGCCCTCCATCCCGCACCCTGGCAGTAGGGTACACAGACCGGCTTTAACAAATAAAAAATGCGCGGTACCTACGATACGTGACATCGAGGAAAACTGAGGGACCCGTTATAAAATTGTTGGCTTAGTTAGATGCTAAGTAACAACTTGGCCCAATGTTTTTCAGATGATCTTCAGCATCCACTCATTAGCTTTCGCTGTATTGCTATAATTACCCACCGATTCCCAAGCTTTAACAGAGTATACTTTATAAATTGTTATAATTACCATTTATTCTTAAGTTTGAGTAGAGTGTAGTAAGAGTTTGTGAATTTCTTTTTTTTGGGCTGCTGTTTGTGACCGCATAGGTAATCCATGTGATTTACATTGCTAGATTCATGGCTAAAACGCGGTCTGAATACGACGCGCAAATTGTGGTGCTACGACGATCCCCGATCTCAATATAATTTTCAATCGACGTTGCTTCAATATATGTATATATGTAGCGATATCCTGAACCACGCGTTTGAACGCGAACCAGTTTGTCTTCGCGACGTCGTAGCCTGCATCACCGCCCTCCCCCCCGAACCCCCGAGCAGGTGGTGAAACGCAAACAACCACTCTCAAGCTCTTTCTGTATAGCTGAAATGGCCATTGCCAAATTCCGAAAAGCTGCTACAGCTCAATAAATATTCCAATGACGCAGCCAGTTTCTCTCTTATCGTCTCAACATCAGATATACTGCGCTCTAAAGTGCCAACCACTGGCACGCGTTCGCTCGCGTCTACGCGTCAAAAGCGTCAAATGCGCCTCTCGGCGTCGGCTTCGGAGTGGAATACGCGAGCAGGCGCGAGGGATCAAGCCGGGCTTGATATTTCGCCTCGCGTACGCTACGTCACCACGCGTACAGCAGCGCCAACCAACCAGAGGCCGCGATGACTCCGAATGCTGTGCCTAATGGCCGCCGCTTCGAAGGCACAGCCGAGTGCTGAAAGCAAGCATGAAAACTACTCCTAACGTTCCTGAATGACCGCTTCGTAATCTAGAACGACAACGAAACGACGAACGACTGCGAGTGCTACCAGCGTGACGCGGTTTCGTGCTGAGTTCGAGCGACGCCGACAAATCCAGCGAATGCCGGCCGGCTATGCTAGCGCCGGACCCCTGTGCGATCGTCGGCCGAGCGAAAGGAGCATGTCGGTGTTCTTGTGCTTTCATCTGTGACTTTCTGTGCTAAAAACGAGTGCGAACATACTTCGGAGGTTCGAAGGTTTGAGCGTGAGCCCTCGCCTACCGCGGAGGCAATTCAGATCGGTGTCATCTGCATCCAGCGCAGGCCTCTACCATCTAGTTCGTATGAACCAGCACATGCGAGGCACATCGGCTGAAAAAAACTCTACGGTAGTTTCCGTCGCAACATAGACACCATATATGACGACCGAAATATCGCGTAGGTCATACGGAGGAGTTTTTATCTGCACTGTGTTTGTGTTTGTTTTCAACATCAATATTCATCATCGCTGAAAGCGAACCTCGCACTAGCCAACACATTTCCGTGATGTGAAAACGTACGTACTTATATAAGTGTATTCGCGAATTGTATGACGCGGAAACATTCGTTGGCTTCGGTGCTAATCGTTTTTGTGTGTTGCCAAGCTAATCATAAGCGTGCGCTGGTTGGTAGCAGTGAGATGCAACTTCGTGTCGGGTACCAGCGACGCTGACACACTGGGCTGTCAGCGGTCCTCATTTCCATTCACGTACAAGACAGAAACTCGAGCGTGCGTCGCCGTGGTGATCGAAAAAGAAAGTTGCATGATTAAGTGCTGCTGGTATTGCCTGCTATTTCACTTCTCGCTTCTTCTGCTTCTGTGCTACGCTCAGTAGCACATACGTTGTTTGGAGGCATTCTAACACACACATTCTTAATTTGTAGTTCATTCTGATACTCATAGCTATAGGCATACAATGGCGCTTCTCCGTCATTTTACAGTTTACTATAACATAACGCGCGATCTGTTTACAGCTGGACAGATAACTGAAAACCTTGTGAGAAGCACCTGATTTGAAATCAGCTGTTCGATGACACGATTGTGGGAAGAGAAGATCACCACATGTATGCACAGAATGAATGAAGGTACACTAGTATGGTACTGCACTTTGTGTAGAAGAAATGCAAAAAGTACCTCATGTGACTTATGAGTCCTTTCAGAGCTGTGCTTGTATTTATCTGTGCCTCCAGACTGTAATGAGCTCAATATATTCGATGGTTCTGAACATTGAATATTTGTATGTGTTTCCAAGGAGTCCTTCATTTCTGTTCGGTTTTTTAGTATATGCATTAACTTGGATTATATATACGCATTCACTTAAGCATATTCTGTGTAGTTCTGTTGGAAAACTTGCCAGAACTTCTGTACGGTGCTCTGGTGCAATCCTTTGATCAGTATCTGTCCCATCAAAAATTTTTGGCATGCTTTATTGCATTATAGTGTATTTTGACAATTAATGACATGCTAAAGCCACAGTGCTTGGCTGTAATCTCAAAACCAATGTCTGTCTCATCAAGAAGTGTCAGATGCATTTTGTAGATGTTAAAGGATATTTAAACTACCAGCAAAGTGCTGAAGTCTTCAACACAGCACTGATCCGCAATCACCACCCAGCTTAGAAGTCATTTGTAGAGTTCTCTAACACGTTCAAATAAAGTTATCAAACACTGGATTGATCTACTTGGTTTGATTCCTAATCCCAGTGTGTCTGACTTTTTGAAGGCACTTGTATTATAATAATGTCCTATTTCTCTCATTTATTACAGGGATGCACTCAAGGGTAGTGATATTTGTTTACCTTGGCACACTTAATGTGATATTACTGTTTATATTCTTTCATTTTGTATATATGTATGCCACTTTTGCAGTAGCCTCACAGTGAGCAGCTGTATTTGAAAATAAATAAATATACCATCCGAAAGTGTTCAACGCTGTGCTCGGTTCCAATCTAGTCGCTAATATCTGTTGCATCGTGATGTGTCGGGTATATTTATTGCATTGGAGAACATTTTGGCTGCTTTCCATGCAGGGTTCAGTTCCAGTATTATGACTGATATCTGTGACTTCATGAAGAGTTAGACGCGGTTTGTCGTTTTAGAGAATACTTTAACTACAGACAACATCCAGAAGTCTTTCCTACAAGGTTCAGTTGCAGCCCTATGGCCAATATCTGTCTTATTATGAAAACTTCAAGTACAGTTAGTTGCATTAGAGCATATTTTGACTACAAAAAATGCCCAGAGGCATTCTACGTAGTGCTTGGTTCCATTCTTATGACAGTATCTGTTGTATCATTAAGAGCCAGATGCGGTTTCTTGCATGACAGGATATTTCCAATACGCTTATCATTCAAAGCCCTCTGAACAGGGCACAATTACAGCCTCATGACCTAAATCCGTCACATCATGAAGAGTAGGGTGTGCGTTGTTTCGGCTGCAGACAACGTTCATTTTGGCTGCAGGCCATTTCGGCTGCAGACAACGTTCAAAAGCCTTCTATACAGGGTTCACTTCCAATATTATGACTGATAACATTGACTTTATGAACAGTTGGGTGCGGTTTGTCATTTTAGAGAATAATTTGACTAAAGAGAACGTCCAGAAGTCTTCCATACAGGGTTCCGTTCCAATATTATGACTGATATCTGTGACTTCATGAACAGTTCGGTGTCGTTTGTCGTTTTAGAGAATACTTTGACTAAAGATAACATTCAGAAGCCTTCCTTACAGGTTTCAGTTCTATAATTATGACCGATATCTGTGACTTCATGAACAATTGGGTGTCGTTTGTCGTTTTAGAGAATACTTTGACTAAAGACAACGTCTAGAAGTCTTGTATTAAGGTTTCAATTCTAATATTATGACCGATATCTGTCACTTCATGAACAGTTGGGTGTCGTCTGTCGTTCTAGAGAATACTTTGACTAAAGACAACGTCCAGAAGTCTTGTATTGAGCTTTCAGTTCTAATATTATGACCGATATCTGTCACTTCATGAACAGTTGGGTGTCGTCTGTCGTTCTAGAGAATACTTTGACTAAAGACAACCTCCAGAAGTCTTGTATTAACGTTTTAGTTCTAATATTATGACCGATATCTGTCACTTCATGAACAGTTGGGTGTCGTCTGTCGTTCTAGAGAATATTTTGACTAAAGACAACGTTCAGAAGTCTTGTATTGAGGTTTCAGTTCTAATATTATGACCGATATCTGTCACTTCATGAACAGTTGGGTGTCGTCTGTCGTTTTAGAGAATACTTTGACTAAAGACAACGTCCAGAAGTCTTGCATTAAGGTTTCAGTTCTAATGTTATGACCGATATTTGTGACTTCATGAACAGTTGATTGTCGTCTGTGGTTCTAGGGAATACTTTGACTAAAGACAACGTCCAGAAGTCTTGTATTGAGGTTTCAGTTATAATATTATGACCGATATCTGTCACTTCATGAACAGTTGTGTGTCGTCTGTCGTTCAAGAGAATACTTTGACTAAAGACAACGTCCAGAAGTCTTGTATTAAGGTTTCAGTTATAATATTATGACCGATATCTGTCATTTCATGAACAGTTGGGTGTCGTCTGTCGTTCTAGAGAATACTTTGACTAAAGACAACGTCCAGAAGTCTTGTATTGAGGTTTCAGTTATAATATTATGACCGATATCTGTCACTTCATGAACAGTTGGGTGTCATCTGTCGTTCTAGAGAATACTTTGACTAAAGACAACGTCCAGAAGTCTTGTATTGAGGTTTTAGTTCTAATATTATGACCGATATCTGTCACTTCATGAACAGTTGGGTGTCGTATGTCGTTTTAGAGAATACTTTGACTAAAGACAACGTCCAGAAGTCTTCCAGTGCAAGGTTCAGTTGAAATATTCTGATCAATATCTGTCACATCATGAAGTGTCAGGCACAGTTAGTTGCATTAGAGCACATTTCAGCTATGGAAAATGCCCGAAGGCATTCTACGCAGTATTTGGTTCCTATCTTATGACCAATATCTCTTGTGTCAATAAGAACCGGG